AGCAGCTTCAGAGGAGGAGTCCATCTCCAAGCAGCTTCCCTGATGCTCATTAGCCCTGATTAGGCACCTCCCTAAACTTCAGCAGCTCACTGGTTCAGCCCCAGGATGGGGTCCCTCTCCCTCTCCACCCCTGCACTTCAGGATGCTGTTGCCAGGGTAACTTCTTCTACTGAGGTTTTAGGTTCAAATTCCAACATTCACCTGTTCAGTGTTCATAACCCCTTGTTATTTTCCCTCCAGCCTTCTCTCAGCAAACCAATCTGGTAGATATTTACCAAACACCCAGGGGAAAGGGACGTGGCCATGGGTGAGGAGGAGACTGTTTTTCTAAAGCAGGGGAAAGTTACAGAAAATAAGTTCAGTCAGCCACAAAGCTTCAGCTGGTTCATCTCATGTCTGGTGCTCCATACCCTCAAACTCCACCAGTTCTACCCTTACAGCTGGTCCCAACCACACTGGGTTATTCTGAGCTTTTTGTGGCACAGGGACAGCTTGGACACATGCTGGATATTAACACAAACACAGGTACTACATTCATGAAAAACTGAACTACAGAAAGTATACAGGCTATGAAAAGGCAGTTGAGCCCTGGACAAAAAGTCCCAAAGCCACCAGGATGCTGTTGAACAGATACAATGGTCTACTTCATGCAAAACTCAGTGATAGAATCAGGGAACTTTGGGGTAATTTTGTATGTTCACAGTGTTGTACAACATCCTACTTTCCTGAAAGTCAGCCGGACTGAACACTGAAGGTTTTCCCACTCTTGCAGTCTGGTACCTCAACACTGTACACTATTGTCATGGCCACGCACAGATGCCATACAGTATGCCCTGTAATTGTTTCCTTTATCATTTAGTGTTATTCTCTCTTCCACATACCCTGTCCTGCCAAAATAATACATAGATCCAGATCATCCACACATTCCAATTACGCTTCCAGGCTGCCTTGCACTGCCCCTGCTTGGGGCAGAAATGTATGCTCCAGTACTTCATAAAACATTCTCAAATGAAGGATCTACTCATTTCAACAAAATTCAGTCCAACCCATAATGAGATAACCTACTCTGTCAAGCAATTAACACATTTCAAATGGCCAAACTGCATCTGAAACCTGCTGCTTCTAAAGGAGACTGGTTCCTGACCTTAACTAAATAATTCACACTTGCTAACACAACTATAATTGCAGCCTAGTAACTCTGAAAGTGTTTCAGAATGGATATCTGAGGCTTAGTCTCAAGCCCAAAGGCAATCACATTTATTATGTTTTGCAATTGGCAATCACAGACACAACAGTTAAAATCTGCTTTGAAGAAAAACCCTTTGCAGCTTCACCTGTTTGTCTGGGAGATCAAATTTTTAAAGGGGAAGGAAGAGGAATGACAAAAGCGAGACATCTGTGTTGGGCATGTCTCAGACTTGGGAACTAGAGTGAAGAAGCAGTTCAAAATGTATCAGGCTATTCAATTAAGGAGTGGAAGAAAAGAAAGTGCCCATAGGTTTTAAAATGTCATGACATTCTTGTACAGAAAGAAGAGTAAGAACAGGATGTCCAGAAAGGTCTCTGTTTTCACTTTCAGGCAAAATTGCAGCAGACCTTACAAATTTAGACTACTCAGTATTTAATTAAGTTGCTGATCAAAGTTTCTACCAAAGCCTGAAAAGGACTGGAAGGTGGTTTTTGTCTTGTCCCTTTATGATGCATAAATTTCAGCCCTGCATTAAATACATTTTTAAAAGAGCATTACATTGTAAACCTGGTCAATGGAGGCTGTGTGTCTTGATTGGTAGAGTACTCTATTCCCCAGTGGCACTGGCTGCCTATTTACATTGAATTTCTAAGCCATCCTTTATTGCAGTATGTATCTGTGAAAGCATTCAGTGGTGCAGACAATAACAAAGCATAAACAAAAGGGGTTTGTATTTTAAGCCATACATTGGAAATACAGAAAAGATGACCTTAAACTACTACAGTAGGAAATGGCAATGGACAATATTGAGGTTTACTTGTTTGAAATTCTGTGTTTAGGGAATTGTTTGCCTGCGGGAAGAGGTAATGGAGAATCCAGTGCTTCCAGGTCTCCGGCTAGCCTTACTTTGGGGTTTTTGAAAGGTGACACACAGCACAGTGATCCAGCCATTGCATGCTTTCAGAAAACACCAACTCAAACTCCCACCGAGACTTTTAAAAATAGAAATGTTGCAGGAACTATGACTGCTCAGTGAAGGCTATTTTTCTTGATTCTTAGAAAGCTCTAAGAGAAAAATGCCTAAGTTATTATTTTCCACTGCTAAAGTCTATGCTTTACCCAATTTAGGCCATGCAGTTGCCCTGAGCACCATTGGTGAAGGCAATCCTCCCCCACCTCCATATCTGGCCAGCACCAAAAAGATGGAGCATAATTCACAAATAACTAAGTAGGGTTGTATCAAAGAAATAATAGGCATGGTTATCAGGTTTCTCCTGTTATGGATATAATCCCCAGGACCTCATAAGTCAGGGGATGAGCCCTTCAAAGAATATTTTTCCTTTGGGTTTCTCTGTAAGAGGAATTATTTCACTCCATTTTGGTTTCCTTAGCACCCAAACTGATCAGGAGAAGAAATGCAGTTTCTTTCCAGAGCCTGCCCACTTGCACAGCACATTGCTGTCAAGTCGCCACTGGGGTTTGCTGACAGAAGAGGACAAAAAAGGAAAAAAAATGGGGAAACTGGGATTTCTGTAGACAGGTAATCTCTGTGTCTTCCATCCAAGAAGAGAAACAAAACTGGTAAGAAGAAAATAGTGGTAAGAAGGGGAAAAAAAAAAAAAATAGGCAAAATCAGTGCTTGGAGGGAAAGAGATATGATGAAGGCTGGTAGGACCTGCTGAAGGAAAGAGGGCTAAACCTTACACAGGGCTAAAAATAGGAATTATGAAGACCTGCATACTGATCCAGGAGCTGCCTGAACTGCACAACAGGGCCTCAAAGGAGGAAGGCAGGGCTGAAGTCTCCTCTGCTTCTCTCCTGGATGGAGGCATCAGCCTCACCTACGAGGGAGGGGGCTGCCCCCACCTGCAAACAAATGCTCTTCCCACTTGTGAGGAGCGCCAAATCCAGTTCGTCTGTTGTCTGGGGAGTTTTCTTCCTGCCTCTCCAGCCACACAATGGAAATTTCAACAAGGCTGTATGGTTGTGATCCTCCCAGCCTACTTGGTCCACTTTATATAATTTATCTCAGCCCAAGTGTTGGAGAGTGTAATCTGTACAATAGGCTAGTGATTACACCAGTCACCCAGCTCCAGTTCGAGTCCACATGTCAATGGGTCTCATGAAAAAAAAAAAAAACAAACAAAAAACCAAAAAAACCTACAACCAAAAAAACCAAACAAACACACCCTCCCACAGATCCCCCTTTAAAACAGCACGTGTTTCTGAGCTGAGGAGGACTGGGTCCAAAAGAAAGGACAAAACCCAAGAGTTCCTTGTGCTGTTCTCAGACTACAGAGAAGGAACTATAGAGAGGGCTCATCCCAGATGATTGTGGCAGCTTGCAGAAAAGTTGCAGGTTCTTCCAGCACACGGATCCAGAAACTTTGTGGCTTGCTATACCCAGTGGCACAAGAGGGAAAGGATCTATTTTCAGAGTTCCCAACTGCTTGATAACAAGCCTAAACTAAAAGACAGGTCCCCCAAATCCCAGAATCCCAGGAAGGAAGCCACGTGCTCCCTTCAGTACTTCATATCAAAGCTGTTCTCCGTGCTCGTGTCTACCCTCCCTACAGCTCAGAGGTAGGGAGGGCACCTACATTTCCCCTCCTAAGAATCAGAGTAAGGGCAGGACAATACCCAAAGCCAGCAGCCAAAAAGTGCTCCCAGACCCAAATAATATCCCCGTTTTTTTTCCCCCAGGCAAGAGTGGCGTGATTTAAGCATCGAACTTCAGCAGAGAATTCACAAGTACAAACAGCAAGTAAAAACTGAAAAGGAGCTTTGCCTACCCCAAATGCAAACACCAAGTCCAGTTTGACACCAAACTCTTCCCATTCAAGGAAGCCTGAGCTTCTCAATCAGAACAGAAAATTTTACTAGGCAGTTGGGTACCTGGAAGTTAAATTTCCCAGTCCCAGAGCTCCTTCTGTAGAGTGAGAATTTAGGTCCCTGCTTCCCTCTGTGGAAGCAAATCAGCAGACACAGACACATACCGGGTGAATTCACCCCGCAGCAGAGACACCGTCTCCCCGAAGCACCTCACAAGGTACCAGGAAGGGATATTTCTTATCACGGACACCAGCAGCAGATTCTTCTGCACCTTTGTAAATGAACGCGGAATTTGCTGAAAATCATAATGGGACGGGGGTGGGGGGCAAGATCTATCATGAAGAAAAAGGGGAAGGAGCGAGTTATTACAAAGCAAAGCAACAGGTGCCCAGCACCAGCCAGAAAAATCCCAATTCCAGCAGCAGGGTCCTGATTATTTTTTCCTCGCTAGCAACAAACTCTTGCTCACTTGGGCAAAACGCAGCGAAAACGTCGCGATTCGACCTGTTTCTCACTTGGGAGAGTGTAAGCGCTGCCTCCCGAGGCGGGGAGGGGGGCTGAAGGGTACGGTACGGGTGCTGACCAGGGTGGGGGGCCGGGAGGGGCCGGCGGGCACGGCTGGCTCTGGCTGGATTTGTTCCCCACACATCTGCCATCATCTGCCGGGGTCGGGGCCGGGAGGGAGCCGCCCCCCAAGGTCTGCGAGTTTGGGGTTTGGGCCCCTTCGTAATTAACTCCGGTGTTTTGATAGGCGAGGCAACGGCTGATGAGTGCCGGGGATTTTAGAAGTACCCTTTGCGTTTCATTAAAATGCCTTACAAAATGTTTCCTAAAGGTCAAAGTGCTCCCCATGGCGCTCGGTTTCTTTAGATTCTTTGCATTGTGAGAGAGACAAGGGATTTTTTTTTTTTTTTTTTTTAACTGACACTCTCCAGTGCAATAAAAGCTCAATCAGCAAAGCACTTAAGCAAATGCTCACCTTTAAGCATCTAAGTGGCTTCTCAGATGGTGGTGGAAATAATTGCATTTGCTCAAAGTCCTGTAGAGCAAGACATGAGATCAGGGTAAAAAGGAAAAAGAGCATGCTTAGAAAACTACCTGTCTCTAACTGACCAAGGAATCACATGTCCATATTCTAGATTCAGACTCATGCATGAAGAAAAAGGAATGAGAAGAGTATGTGAAGCAAAAGTTTAGTCTGACATGAAGAAAATACATATTATAAAATCACTCCACTGCTTGAATTATAATTAAAAGGAAACAGGTAATTTAAAGTCATTAGCAAGGTAATATCCAGCAGTTCCAAAATTCTTATATTATCTGTTTAAACTATTTATTGACTTTACAGAACTGATGCTTATAACCTCAAATCCTTCCCGGACTGTTTAATATACTAAAAATCTTTCTCTACTCGTGTGTCTAAGAGCACGAAGAGCAATACTAATGATAATTTTACAACCTTTATACCAACTCTGGTTTTATACTTGAGAAACTCAGACACAGACTGTCTAAAGCTACAATTTAAGCTGTGTTTATCGATCTTGGGTGACCAACATGAGTTACCTATTGAGTCTGCCTCAGATATAAAAGATGTTTCCCTTATCGCTTTATGGACTGTGCAAAGAAGCTGAAGAGGGAATAATTTTCAAAAGAAAAATAGAGGACCTGAAATTATCATGCTGAGGGATTTTTTAAAGAAATGTATTTTTAGAACAACTTCTAATTAAATTGTGGACTTCGGTGCTGCATTTTGTTAAGGATATCAAAAATATAGAAATATCTTCCAAAAGGATTATCTAAATTCGTGGATGATAGCTCTACCAAAGAGCTTTAGTGCTATAGTCTTGTTTTTCAGAACTGCCTTTTTATAGTCTTATGTATATTCAAAGCACATTTTCAATCAACTCCTGCACCACTTGTGAGTGTGCTCGGCACCACCACAAATCTATCCCTAGGTCTTTCATACTGTTCTCTAGGCAGTGTAATACACGCCATTAGTGGCCAACTGTGATGATTTGGCCTTGCAGCTTGCTGCCACATCTACAGGAAGGCTTTGAGCACCCAAGTGCAGTGTGATCGCCTCTGTAGGCAGCCGGGGAGTCTCAGAAGAGCCAGTCATCTCCTCCAGAGTAATGGAAGTTGCTTAAATCCCTGGTATCAAATTTTTGCCAGCACATTTTGCCTAAACCCCACTAGAATGGGATTTCCTTAAATGTAGGTGGTCCCTCACACATCTAATCCAACAGAGAGCATCAGAGCATGCTTCTAGGAGAAGCTTCATGCTTCAAAGGGAAACTATTGCTCTGGAAGGTAAAAAACCTCCTAAAACTAGGTTGGTTGTCTCAGGACCTGATGTGTGGTTACAGCTGTCATGGAAAACTGTACAAAGTGAGAGAGTTAAGGAGCATCTAGTACCCACCCTGGCTGCGAGCAGGCCTGCAGACAGCTATTTCCAGCCACCCAAGAGCCACCCAACAGTACTTGCTATCTGTACCAGATCCAGCTGGTCTGGGTGCAGCACTGACATTTCTGGGATTGAAAGCTGTCATTTCATAATCAAGTTCCTATATCAATTCTCCCAGCATCCTATGTCAGTGATTTAAGAGCTTGTTAAGGAGGAAAGCAGTGGGGGCATAAACAGAAAAGGCTGAATTTATGAAAAAATAATAGGTCATGAAAAGCAGCTCTATGGTTATGAAGATATCTGTGCTGATCTTCTAAGAGCAGAGTAGGAGTGCAAGAATGAGAAGATTCTGGCAGGAAATCAGGTAGAGACAGACAAGCCTTGGAGACCAGCCAGTATTTCTTATTGGAAAAAAAAAAATAACTCACTTCAGTCTTGGAGAAAGTGATTGCTCCTGTGGTTTGCTACCGCTGTTTTGTGACAATAAGAGAGCTGGGTAAGTGACCCACTGATGTGGGAGGTAATACAAAATTAGGTTTTACCATGAGAATAAGTAAACATGCAGTGAGAATGGTGGCCCACTACCTGGAAGAGCAGAGGCTGTTCACAGGACACTGCCCAGAGGGCCTTTCAGCTGCTTGTTCCCAAAGTGAACTGCACGGGTTCAAGTCCTTTAGTTGCTGAAGCTGGGCTAGTGCAGACCCGGCTTCATCCCATGGTAGTTCCCGAGTATAACCCATGCCCTGAGTGTAGGCTTGCATTTGCTGGGATAGGAATCACTCTCTGGTTCTCTTTTACTTATAAATACATAGCTCCTGTACTCTCTCTGCACTGGATTTTGAGTGGGCCTAAAATCAAAACACAACATAAATATAGTAACAAAAAGCACTTACGGATTTAACACCACGTATCCACTGCAATATATCGCAGAGCCCTGGTCCTTTCAGCAGCCCACAGCTGGGTTTGCTTCTTGCAGACACCAGGGACCTGGTGGGTGCCCAGGTCATTAGGACAGTGTCAGGTAAGAGCTGGAACCCGTGATTTGATGTAGCCTGTATGCTTCCTCGTGGACGGCCCTCCTGAGAGTGATCCAACCCGCAGCTACCCTCTTGCTGATGTGTGGTACATGCTAGAGACACGCTGGCAGTCTTCATAAGGCAGTGCTGGCTGCCTTTATGCACTGAAAAAGGAAAGAAGTAGTATATAGTATACAACCGTGCTGTACAGCAGCTAATTCCAAGTATTCATCCTTACAAAAATGGTGGTAGAAGCCTTGCCAACACCAATCACTTAAATAGAGGAGATAATTTGCTCTGCATTTTGAGGGGGTGTTAACACAGAAAAAAAAAAAAAAAAATCTTAGTTTCCGACCCATTTCTGCACTGCTTGTATCACAAAGTGCTCACACTTCTGACAGGTGGGAGAAGGTTCCTCATATGAGTGTTTCCTGACCTTACTTTCTGAATTAGATCTGCTAAGTGTTAGCTGCCAGCTGGTAAATGAGAAGTGAAACCAGTCATCAGTTCCTGCATACGCTGTTCTGGGCCAGCAGCTTCGGGTGCTAAGCCTTGAGATCAGCTCCCTGCAGCTCTTGAAGATGACGGAGGGGTTTTATTACATTTTATATCTATAACTCTATCACTCATAATTGCATTAAGTTGTCAGAGCTACTGCTTACATGGGTTGGGACGCAGCCACTGCCTTTGCACACCAAAGGATGGCTGAGTTACAAACACAGAGCCCTTCAAGCGAGTCAGATGCTAATTTAGCATTTTTCCAAGATGTTTGCCCATGGCTGACAGCTATGACGTAGAGATTTCTGCCCTTCTGGAGAGGCAGCTGGAGGCCAGATTGGGCTGTCCGAGGTGATTTGACTCCTACACTTAGGCAATTAAAGCCACATAACCCTTATGCTCTGCTGGCCCCAGATTAGCTCATCACAACAACCCAGGAACAGCTGGATGCTGTGCAGCCCCTCCACGGCTTCAGAACCAACCACAAAACTCCCTGGAGCCAGCAGAAGCTGTCACCTTTGAACAGCAGTGCCAGCCTTAGCGAGTCACTGGAAATCCCTGTAAATTAGTCCCAGAATTTTCCAGTTTGTTACAAGGTTTACAGCAGAGGCAGGACGAGGAGAGCAGAAAAGCACAGCTAAAAAAATCATTCAAGTGATGACGGACAAGCTGAAGGAGTAGCTGCAGTTACGTAGCAGTATGTGGTTTAAAAATATGAATACTTTGTAATAGAAATGTGTGCTTATTGGTCATGTTCAGCAGGATACTTACAATGAAAGATTAATTAAAACTCACCGTTGGGCTATGCAGGAAAGGAAAAAAAAATAGTATCTTCTTTACAGAAATAAATGACTTTTATCCTCAGACTTTGGGCCCCAAAACAACAAAGCACTTACACAAATGCTTGACTTGGAAATGAGCGTAGACACATGTAAATAGCAAGCAGATTACATCACTATTTTCATTTTCCAAATTTTAAATGTGGGATATATGCCAGTACTCATCTTGTAACTACTAGCTAGTATTACAGCAGAAAGAATGAAATTAATGTTGAGCCTGAAGAAAATCACCTTCATAGTGCGGCCGTTCAGCCACCAAAACCCGTGGAATGGTCATGGCTCATTGGTTGAATGCCATGTCATTAAAGTACAACTCAAAAACGTTTAGAGGCATTCTTACACGTGAAAACACCATGCCTGAAGAAACAGTGCTGTCAGGTAGGTCACCCAGCAGTTAAATGTTCAGAATCTGGAGAAGTGGGCAGGAACTCCAATCTCAGAGCTCCACTATCATATTATAAAAATGATTGATATTCCACAAGTTGCATTCTGAACATCATGTGCAAAAATAGCCTCAAGAATTCAAAGCTCAGACAAGAGTCACCACATGTTGATTGATGGCCCTTTGTCACTGTGTTTTATGGGTTATGACCACTGGAGACTTCAAAATGAACTAAGCCAAACATAACAGCATCCTTTGCTCAGTGAAGCAAGGATACAGGACTCAGAAGCCAAACTCTTCTGTCAAAAATAAAATGCTTAGCTCAAAAAAATCTGTCAGACTTTCAACACTTTTGACAGCTTCCATATTCAATGCATGCAAAAGTGAGTCTGATGAATGCAGACAAAGCATCCAGAATATTTCTTTCTTTAACTTTAAAAATCCCTAATCTGGTATATTATCCTTAAGTAATTCACACATCTCTCTTATGTAGCTCTCCTTCTCATGGATGTTCTACAGAAGAAACATGTTCATTAAATCAAAAAAAACTAAACTATTCTTATATTGCATTGCATTAGAAGCTGTCCTTACCTATGGTACAGAAGTATGAAAATACGTTTATGACACTGATGAACAGCATATATTACCTGACAAATAGCTGTCTTTTAAGTATATAAATATCAAGTGTGTTCATCCTGTATTAGGAGTGTCATTTATTGTGACAGGAGAAATTTCTCTCAACATGTAAAATGAAACATATTATATTAATGGTCATAATTACCCAATCCTTCAAATTCAGACATGGTTGTTACAAGAACATCACTTTGGAAGATATTTGCTTTTAATTTGCAATCTTCTCTTCTTTAATTTCATTAGGAATCCTCATGTGTTACATCATTCTTGCTGAAAAAGAAAAATCACATAAATTTGGATTATTAATATTTTGCTGAACTTTTTGCCATTTGGACAGATGCAAACAGCATAGAGTTTATGAACTCCCTCTAAGTTCAACAAAAGAGTTTTAGGTCAGACATAAGTAACCTAAAGAAAGACACCTATGAGAAATTTAAAAAGAATAAATGACCATAATTATCTTAATTTTGTGCAGAAGGTACATAGAAAGAGATTTCAACTGAGATTTAATGGTCAGTAGTGACTTTCTAGAGACTTTTTTCAAGACAATTAGCAGAGTAAAGAATGAACTTCCTTAAAAGGTAAGACATTTCTAATAACTCAGAAACCATGCTGTCATACTTTTGTCATTCATACAGTTAAGGACAAAGCACAAAGACCTGACTGGTCTTTTTTGTTATTTCTATATCACTCTCACTTCATATCTAAAAGTTTTGACTTTAAACTCTACTTTTCTTGTGGGGAAAAACTGACAGCAAGATCCTGTTCTTCTGTCTTGCAGATGACATGAACAGTTGTGTTACCTCAGCATCCCCAGAAACAAGACTGGAACTACAGGAACAGACAGTATGACACAAAGTGCATGTAGAACCACAACACCATGTGCCTCCTTTACAGTCTCTGGACAGAAGGATTGTCCTCTACAAGATATGCTGTTAAGTAGAGTGGAAAAAGTACCTGTTTAGTGCAGAATTTTCAGATGCTTGTAAGATTTTTTTTAAAGCTTTATACATTACCATACATTTCTATTACAATAGCTTTGAGTGCTCCACCATCACAAGCTAGCTCTTATCTCATTACATTAATAAATACATTACCCTACATTTTCATGGAAGCAGGATTAGCCTCACACTTTAGAAATTAGGCTATTTGTGCAGGATTTTTTTCGAACCTTCTATTCAACATTTGGTTGGCCAACAAAGATTCAGACTAAAGAATTTTCTTTGTTTCTACATACGCATATTTAGGTCACTATTCCTCCTCTATGGACTATATATGGACTATATTCCTGTATACTGTGGGTGAGATTACTTAAAATGTACACATTTTAATGTCTGAACACATTTTGGTAGGCATAGGAGAGTCTGGATCTTGAAAAGGTGCCTACAATAGGAATCTAGTTTCTTTAACTGCCCCAGATGTCAGCGAGGAGAGGTAGACATCCACCAAGGCAATTCAGCTGCATCTGAGACTGCTGATACCATGCATATGCAGTTTTATGCACATGAAGGGACACCTTACATTTGGCAAAGCAATCAGTTGCTACTAAAATACGGAAAAAGTCCTGCCCAGCATGTCTCAGTCATTTAACACAAACTTCAACTGTGTGATACTCCGTCATACTAGTCCCTGATAGGGGTCTCACATTCGTAGTACCCTGATATGAGAAGACAGCTTGTCAGGACATGACTGATATAATTTGGCTGTTCAGAAAAGGTTTTTCTAATCATCTTTCCACTATACAAGAGTTACATAGGAACAGAAGAAATGCACACACGGGCTGTATAAATACAGCCTTTGACACCTCAGTATTTGTCTTTGTTGCCATTGTATCTTGAGGGAAAGGTAACATTTTAAGCCCAAAAGTTATGTCTTAAAGCATGATGGTGTATTCCCACTTAAAGCTGCCACAAGGAACAGCATAGTCCCCGGCCCACCGCGTAATGCTGAAACACAGGTCATTTGTTTCAAAATAGTGTTAATTCTTCAGAAAATGTAAGCACTGCTATTTGTTTTTATGCCAGTGGCCTGTAGGAGACAGGTTATCTGATTCATTGTCCTATGGGAAGAAAAATACATGGCAACATCAACAGACTTTATGAATCCTAGATCAACTCCTCTCCTCCTGGTTATATACCAGATTAATTCTGTTAATGTGAATGGCATAGTCCCCAAAAGAGCACCCAGATGAGAGGAGAAACACACCCACTAAATTCTGGGTAGAATTTTATCAGTAAGATGAAAAAACCTAGAAGAATATTTTAAAAGGGAGCTGACAAATTTCCCACTTAAATATTCCCACCTGCATCAGTTCCACTAACATCACAACAGGAAAGCTCGGTAGGACAGTGAGGCATCTGGATGCCAGCTGTTCCTAAGACCAGGTAACCTCATCCTGGTACTCATCCAGCTGTTAAAGTACTCTTTTGTTACAGGGCTGGTAAGGAGTGCAGATTTTAATCTGTTTCAACGGGAGCTCCTGGAATTTTCAACCACTCAAAATGTCTTTGTGATTGAAAATGTGAACAGACTTTTAAAAATAAATACATAAAGCATCTTAAAAATGTCTGCCATTAAGGATCCACCATTGTAAATTAAAGCTGGCTTCCTTATCAGAACACATGGGCGAGTAAAACATAGTCTCCTTTGCTTCAGAAGAGTATCAGATTTTATGCTGTTAATGAATGTTCCTGATAAAATGTTGGTGGTCATAATTTAATTTTTATACTCACAAGAAAACCGACTAATAATTTTTACAACTTTGCTTTTCCTCACTGCACTGTGTTTAACTGAGTAAGGTCTTTTTACAACCATGCATAAAGACAGCCACTGCCACGAGAGAAGTTTTTATAAGTCTTATTAGTAGGAGTTTCTTATTGTTCAGGTATTTCACATATTATGTTCTTTTTGCTACCTAATAAGAATTGTGACACCTGTACCTATTGTACTTAAAAAAGTTCTAGCATATATGTTCAAATTTTGCTTGTTTGTAGCATCTGTATTCCTTTAAGTCATGAAATAGTCATATAAGGATTTCTCAGAACCAAGCAGCACTAGACTGAAGAAGGAATATTGTTGGGCTTGCAGAATTTCAGAGAGGAATTTTGCTAATGATCACAAGTTCAACACTGCATGAAAATTTCTGAAGCTGCTTTCTGAAGCTTCATATCCAGAGAGATTTTCCTGTCTCCAAACAGATGTTTGTGAAAAGGAAACTGGAGTTATAATTTGGTTGGATAAGCAAATGTCTTCTGAACTGGGAATGGCATTCTTCATGCAGCAAAGTCCCAGCTTGAACAGCAGATGTGACACTTAAGCAAAACTCCATTTAATTGTTCCAGATGAAAGGTCAAGATGTTTTAGCGCCGCAAGTAGCACAGGGTAGCACTTGAGCATCCTGCTATACCACCAGTAGAGCCAAGAATTAAATTTTCAATCTCCAGCCTTCAGCTGTACTGAAGAAGTGCATGCTTCTTCTCAGGAAGTAATTGTGAAAATAATTGTGCAAGTCTGATTGTGGTTTGCTCTGATCTAGCTTCCTAGTTTCACATAGCTTCAGGGGGAGGCTGCAGTTGCCAGTAGCCCCAGGGGATCCATATGACAATAGTGAATCCAAAGCAGGGAAGTTATTTTGTCTCAATCACGTCCTGTGTATAGGGGTATAGAAGACATACAGGGGTGTAGGAGCAAATGCATTTTCCCTGGCTCACAGGCTGTTTTGTTCTGCTGCTGTGGTACAAGCACTCAACAAATGGTCAAATCGAGGCCTCAGAAAGAAATGCCAGTTGCAAGAGGACGGATAGGAAATGATGTCAGTTCACAAAGTCCCCTTCAAAGGTTTGCTTACATCCATAGAAAAGGCTCAATAAAGCGATCACACAAATAGCCTGTTGGATAACTTTACTTAATGCAAGTAGAGGTGTTCAGAAGAAGCTGTGCTACAAAACAGGCGTTTGGCTTGAATGGAAATATTTTCACATCAGTTCGTCAAGACAGTTGCTAAAAGAACCCCTGCTGTTACTGTGGCATGAAGCTTGTATTTGGATCCATAAATGCAATACATGACAACTTGTTCTGTTTAGGAGAACTGGACTCCAGCTTTAAGAATTAGATTCATCTGTTGATGCAAAGGAATCAACAGAGAGCTGTGAACAACTTACATTATTTTTTGGAGAGCGTATTTCAAAAAGCATTTCTCTCCTACTATAATTTGGCAGTTGCAGGGCAGGTTGACAGGAAAGGATGCAGAAAATAAATTACTTTTCCACTTAGCACTGCTCTGAGGAAAAGGACCGTAAGTGTTCAGTTAGCACTTGTTCATCAAGCCGTGCGTGCCTACTGCCTGGAAGCTTGGACGCCCACCCTTCGCCTGTGATCCATAGGCTCTTCGGGTGCATTTGTTCTTGGGCCGCATCTGTCTTCGCCTCTGGTTGCTCATCACCGCATGAACTGGGGGCTTGGTGCACCAGTCCCCCGAAGAAACTGGCACAAATCCTGGGGATTCCTATGGGAAGAAGCAAGGATGCACTTACGTCAGGCACCTAAAACTAAGCAGTGCTCCCGAGTTCTCTAATGGAGACTTTTGCTACACCCATGTTTAAGTTTAAGCCTGAGAACACGAACAGCTTTTATCCCAGTTGTATTGGGCAACGCCGCCTGAATTAACGTTGTCCACAGTGAGCTTGCTAGCAAAGTGGAGTCTGCAGCCAGCTGTGAATCAAGTATTAACATGCTAAGTAATGTTTGTAAGTAAATTCCATCATTTCATATATATAAAAGGGCACCAAGCTCTGTAACTGTTTATTACAAGTTCCTGTTTTCCCCCTGTGGCTCTAAATCAAATCTCATTTACAAGTGGAAACGTGTTATTTTGCGTAGTGAATACCTGACCTTTTATTTCTACAAAGTAATTTCCAGAGACAATGCCAAAAGCATGTAGTGCCACTGACAGGGTGACACTGCAGCATTTCATATGCATATTTTCTTGGGAAAAGTATTTGGAAAAAGCTGCAGGAGTCCAATTAAACTTTACCACTCGATTACGCATGCCCACAATAAGAAGTTCATATATTAATATGACTGTGACACCAACACACGCAGAGCTGGTCAGTTATACAAACTGTGGGCTCTAACACTTCCTCTATCAGCAAACTCTGCTGGAGAGAGGATACTTACAGCAAAGAAATTTCTGGAGTGTGATGGTAATGGAGCATAAGTGCTTTACTGATAAGGACTGCAGTTAGGTACTGTGCTTAAATGTGTTGCTGAATTAAACCCCAAGGGCCTTTCATTCCATATTTATACTTAACATTTCCCTTAGGGGTTTTTTTTTTTGCTATTATATAAGTACGTGTGATGATTATCTCAACTGTATGTGGCTGCAACCCAGACTTTCATTAAATAACCATCACAAGATTGGTAGCACTGTTCCTGTTTTACAGATACCTGCAGGATTGTTCTTGATGGCATGTAAGCTGTGACAGCCAGGAGTCTATGGCAGGACACTTTGTGATTAACTTTAGATGTGTCCCACAATACCAAAAGCTTTAATTTCCTAAGGTCGCTCACTGACTGATAGTCAGGTCGGTTTATCTCAGTCATCAAGAGACGAATGCAGACAGCCAGCTTCAAAATTTAAGGAACCTGAAAGTGAAACCTTGGCCAGTCCAGAGTACTCTTTCGTTTCTCCAGAGTATGAATTTTTCTGAATGAGAAATATAGGTTGGTATCTAAGGATTTCAATAGCTTTCTGATGTAATGTTACATTTAGAAGATTTTAACATCTTTTGGAATAAATACTGTTTTGTCCAGCAGAGGGAGACTAGAGTTTTAGAGAAACGTAACACAAACACAAAGCATAACAAGGAAAAAAATTATTTAACTCAAATGTATCAGCTATAGATTTTAATATCGGTTTTCATTTATAAGACATAGTACCGTAGATCATATAGACAGCTAAATATAGGCAAAATCTGACAAAAATCAGACTTAAAACAACATTAGTGCTTAATTCTGATACAGGATTTGTAGGCTTCATCCTGCTTCAAGTCTGATCCTGTGCAAATAACAAGAAAACACACTTATTCTAACATGATTTGAAAGTCCCACTGTGATTCTTGATTAAATTTTAAATGCAAAAATATTCAGATCCAACACAAAAATTAGAACAAAAAACGCCTTCCCTGCCTTTAAATTGTCTGAGTATTATTCATGTCCACTAGCCTGAGACAGATTTCTTGTCCAAGGCACATTTCTGTCAGTTGTTTTTAATATCTGACATAACACATTCAGTGAGTTTTTGAGTTACCCACATTCTTTCAAATATTCTTTCTCTATATACAAATAATCCCTGAAACACTCATTGTGAAGAGAGTAAAATGAGCTAATACAGCAATGTTAGTGCTTTCTATTAGTTAATAAAGCAGAACCTTTTGCCAGAGATCTCATTGTGCAATTATCATCAATAAAAAATGCTCTACTGATTATAAATAAATAAATAAATAAAAGCTTCAGATAGTTTATTTAAAATATTTTATTTCTTAGATAATCTCTTTTTTTTTTTTTTTTCCAAGCTAGAAAATGCAAAACTCATATACTTAACAGGAGTTTAAGAGATTTTAAAGATCTCACTTGAAGAAGAGCAATAAACAACGTAGACCTTATTCCAGACTCTGGAGGGCTAACAGAAGAAAACTATGTCTTTATTCATCTGCCTGCTTCTAGTTTTGACTCCACTGTAGTGCTGTTTATCTTTGCTTAACTCCCTTCAGACGTTCTAGTCAGTAACATTTGAATATCCCTGCTCAGGTAAATAGTCGTATTAATGTCAGGAACAGCATAGTGTGGGCAGGGAGAGCACTGAAGTATAGCAGCAGCATGTGTTAATGGGGTCCTGAATCCATGAAATATCCAAGGGTCCCCAGGACATCCCCTTCTGGTTTTCAGTCCATGCCAAGGAAAAATGAGAAGAAACGGTAACAAATCTGTGCCATTGAATAAAAGTACGTAAATAGCGCAAACATGCTCTTATCCCCAGAACAACTCAGGTGACGCTGTGCCGAAGGGGAGCTGTGTCCTGACACGGACCAGAGGAGGAGGAGGAGGCCCAGGCCAGCAGCCAGCCCAGCAACTTGGCCATCTTGTGCAATAATATTCCTGAACACCCCCCCCATCACTGTTATAAATTGCTGTGTGCTGAAAGGAGAATTTTAGCTGGAACTAAATGAGAGACTCGTAGACAATTATCACACTGTGATAAATGAAAATTTTTTGGCTCACCATATGTAGATTTAAAGATGGGAGATGAGGAAAAAAGTAAGATAAAGGTACCTCTGCTCTCCCTTTGTACTTTCTTGCTGATCTGATGCAGATTTCACTAAGCTGTGACTACAAAACCCAACACTAAGCACCCCAACTCACAATGCTATACAGCAAGGATACTTCCAAGGACAGATAAACATATTCCTGATTCGCAGTCTCTTGTCTCCGTGCTGTGAGCACCCAGCAGTCTCTTCGTATTGTTGTTTCTGTTGAGTGGCCTGTGGCTTTCCACTCCAGGTAAAGATCTAAAGCTAAAATAAAATACAAAATACAAAATACAACATACATCACACAAAATACAAAACACAACATACAAAATACAAAACACAACAAAGAAAATACAAAATAAAATACAAAATACAAAATAATACAAAATAATACAAAATACAAAATACAAAATATAATAAACCCATTATGTGTTACATGAGGAAACACCTGCCAGTAGCTTGTACTCAGGAAAAGGTCAGTGGAAACCTGGAGTAAACTCTTTGCAGAGTATGCCTGGTCTTTTTTTACAGTAGCCCAGTAAACCATGATCCCAGCTCAGAAACCCAGTCCCTGGGCTGACCAGTTCACCTCTTACTCCGTATTTCACAACAGGAGAAATCCATCACCCATTGCCTACTTCCAAAGCAATTTTAAAGCTGCAGGCAGCGGGTTTTGACCTCACTCCAGCTTATCTGGCACAGTGTACTGTTCACAGGCTACTCAGATTCACAGCTGCAATAAAAGAGAACCACTCGATAAGCAGCTCTTGGGTTTTTCTTTGTTCAGACACACCAGCTGATGTGCTTTGGGGATTACTGCATTATCAGGATGGTTGTGTAACTGAAAGGCTGGTGAATACCACTTCAACGCAGCAAATAAACTCCTGGGTGCAGATGTAAGAAGGACAAACAGAATCAGCACCAGCTTAACACAGAGGAAAATGACAAATCCTTCCATGGCAAAACTTGAAAGTAGTGGTCATGTTAGGAAAAAAAAAAAAAAAAAAAAAAAAAAATAACAAAACCCACAAACAGAAATATTATATCTTAACCATACATTCTTTGCTTGTTCTGTGTTATTTGTTCGTTCTGGGATTGCCAGCCTTTCAGAAGAAAAAGCGTGTCAGAGCCAGAAAAAGATCAAGTGGTTGATCGAGCAGTTCTCTCAGTTTCTTGGTTTGTCTCCCGATTCTTTGAAACTCTATAAGCTATATAAACTATAGAACAGCTTGAATGACCAAAAAGGAGGAGCTTCTCTCCACAGGCAGGACCTGCTCAGTGTGCCCTGGGAAAAACCCACCCGGGCTCCGTCCGATGCTGCACAAACACAAGGTTCCCAGCATCTGAAGGGACATAACATTGACTCGCTAACTATATTCTTATTATTATTCTGTCATATTGAAACAGTTATATTATGAAGTTATTTGTTGTCAGGCCTTTCTTATCGATATCCAGAAAAGCCCTGCACCAGCTCACTCTCACCTCACTCCCCACATCCAGGGCAGAATATCCGCACTTCCCACCAGTGCCTTAAAATGCGAGTCTTTGCAACCTAGATCCCTACGTTCCTCCTACAGCCAATGGAGAGCTAATCCATTCAGTTCATGGACTCTGCAAAGCAAGTCAGCTCATGTCTGGTCAGTGGAATCAGTCTCTAAGCTCCACTGGCCATGCTGACTAGCCCTCCGTACGCAGGCAGGATTACTGCAAGGATGGCCACATCCTCATTTGATTAGTATGCATGAAATGTCTTTTAAAAACTGAGGTAACAGAAGGCCATTTTAGATACAAATGTTTCCAGACCATCCAAAAGATGACCAAAAAGGACCTCGAGTACTCACAGTGCTGGCATGCCTTCAGCAGAAGACAGAAGCAATGCCTGATAGCAATGCTGTTTCAAAATAAATTTCCTTTATGAACATAATCCATTCAAACTTGCTTGAGTTCAGCTGGCACGACCTACCTTTTGCCCAAGAGCAGCTTCTCCCGACGCAACCAAACATTTCAGCGTGACTGCAACAGCTGGGAACCAGATATCAAAGTGTCAGTGGCATACTTTTGGCAGCCAATGTTACTATGGTGTTTGGGGCTAGTCTGGGGCGTGTCATTATCTCTCCCAGTATCTCATGCAGATATAAAAATAGATAGGGACTTAAATCTTACAAAGAAACTTTACCTCACACAGAGTGATCCCTAACCTTGTAATGACTAGCTAGTTAACATGTGAACCTGACTAGAAAATGCTATAAAACACAAACGGCTGGCCCCAGAAATGAAACAGACCCTTAGACATCTATTAAATGAGCATGGTGCAGTACATGGTGAAAACGGAACCAGGTAACTTTTAATTAATTCAGTCCTATTGATCTCAGGTATTAACAAATAATAAACTATTTTGAAATTTAGATTAAATGTTAGTAAGAAAATTAATTATTCCAAAACTTTTGACAATGACAGAGACAAGTTAAAATAATCTTGGAGGAGCTACTGATCAACATTTAATGTTGTTGCCAGTAAAGAATCATATTTTAGATGACAGATCATAGAATGGTTTGGGTTGGAAGGGACCTTAAAGATCACCTAGTTCCAAACCCCCTGCCATGGGCAGAGACACCTTCCACTAGATAAGAATTCAAAGTATTTTTCCTTCACAGGATGAAAAAGAAGCTCATAAACCAAACCAGAAAAACTGCTCAGCCGTTGGCTGCTGCTGTATCTCCTCCTTTGCTCTCCTCACACTCATAGGAGGAATATAAACTCCACCCGAGCTTTCATTCTACTTCTGCCTGAAGATCTAAGTGGGTGCACAGTCATCAGTACAGACAAGGATCGGAGACATTCAAGCAGGAAAAATTCTCTGGGAAGTTTCTTCTTGCTTCTTTTTTTTTAAATTTCTTGGGTCACTGTCCAGCCACCAATCCAACCTCTCGCTTTGCTCAAGTGAATCTGTGTGAAATCAGGTGTAAGTAAACAATGAAACAAAAGGAAATTTTAGGCAATGTTTGCTGTTGGGAGTGAAATGTCTGTTCTCTTTTCCAGCTGATATTTTTGAGATGATTTTCGTAGCTTTCCTATAAGCAGAACTCTCCTCTGACAAGATTGTGAGGCTCTGAAGGTTGTGGTTAAGAAGAGTCCTCCTTAAGAGAAATCCAGAAAGTAATAACTAGTTGCAGTAAAACTGTACAATAGGCAGCAGACCTAAATAGATTGATTTAAATAATTAAAGTCTAACAACCTTTAGTTAATGATCTATCTAGTTTGGCTTATTTATCTGCAACAAATTTCAACATACAGCAAAGAGCCCTAAGAGTGAAAAGCTCCAGGAACGCAACACAGACAAGCTCTGCAAATATCCTTGTGAGTATGAGGCCCAAAGGGCGTTACCGGGTTTTTCTGTTTATTTTCATTACGAAGGAAGGGCTGAGTCCTGCATGCTGACTTCAGTGGGAGCTGTTATGCTCTGCCTTCTTTTGAATCACACCTCTGATTGCTTTTTCTTGCCTTTCAAGGGCCACATACTTACAGTCAGAATTTTATATACGTATGTTTGGTAAAACATTTAAAGATGGGAATAATGGCTTTTTTTCCTTTTTGTATCTGAGTGAACAGAGTGATTTTTAGAGATACTGAGAACCACCACCAGCAAAATACCAAGCATATCTGAAAATCAGATCCAGCTTTAAGGAGCCTATATATGGATCCAGGCAGACCAAATCATAGCCAAGGAAATCAGATGACATGGAATTCAGTTAATAAAAGAGACCTCAAGAAAGGATGAGTAAATGTAAGGTTTTCTTCAGAGCAACCATGTTAATTCCAAGCCTTTCCTTCTTCATGCAGTGCTGAATGGCCCTGGATAAAATGGAAGATTTGAGTCTGAAACAGATAGTGCCCCGAGCTGAGATAGTTGAAGTGGAAGGTATTCCTCTGACAAAACCAATATGCAGCATGTGGGACCAAGTGTGGAAGTTCAAAGCCAGACCTGATGATCTGCTCATCGCAACCTATGCAAAAGCAGGTTGGTGTGGGTAGGAAACAGAAAAGTCTGGGATAATGCTTATTGTTGAAATTGAAAATTATGTTTTTCTATTCTGGCTGATATTGGTTTAAGCCCAAACCAGACATATTTTAAAGACATGAGGCTCTGTTAGTTGTGACTAGCAACTTCTGACTTCTTTGGCAGAAGTAACGACCATCTATTTATACTAAAGTTCAGATGGTCAAAGTCTAATTACCTATACTTAAATGATTCCTTTGATTTAGATTATATTCGTATATATTAATGGCAGAAAAAGAAGTTTTCCACCAATAGGTAATGACTTAACAAAGCCTAGTAAAAAGTCATCATTACTAAGAAATAATAGAAACCAACTGAACAACTATGTAATATTTGTTATGTATCTGGGGAATGACTTGGTGTGTAAACCAGTACTAATTTCTGGAAATGGGCTAATTATTTTCATGAAATAATCAAATTCACTTAATAGATTCAGACAACAAATTAAAATATTCACCATTATCTATCTGGTATTTTATTCAGCTTAACTCATTACTATTTCTTCTCTTGACCAGACCCTTTATACTTACTACAAAGGAAAACAATGAATAACAAGTATCAATATTAATCCTGGATGAATAAATACATGTACAGTTTAGGGGATTGAGGAACAGATTCAGGAACATCCGATGATCATAAAAAAAATAGTTACTTGAATTAGCAAGAACTTTTAAGTAATTTTTTCAGCAGAGAAAAAAAAAACAAAACAAAACCAAACATTATTACAAAAAACCCCAACAAATAATTATTTTTGTAAAACCTAAAAGCTTTTCATTTATTTCCTGTATACTGAAAGCATAATCACGTTCTTTTGTCCAGCCTGGATTAAAACCTTTCAGCCAATGAATTGAAAGAAATAAAGTTAAGAGTCCATTTGAAATTGCTGCATCTGTCAGAGCTGCACAGCTCAAGAATCTTAAGAAGGGTTGCGTTTCCTGCCCACACTGCTTTCCAAGTTATCCCTTGGCCTGTTTTCTAGCTGACCTGCCACAGTACCTCAGCGGAGATGTGGTTAACCCAGTGATCACAGCTATCAGGGAAAAGAGCCGCATGAGAGACACAGCACTTAACTCTTACAGGATGTTGCAGCAGCTCAGGCAGATGAAATGTTGTACTGACCTTCATTAAAGCATTCCAAATGGGAACCTTGAAAAGACTGCAACTTTTTTATATTTTCAAACTTCATGAAATTTTTACTCACTCAGTT